CTTGATCGCCTGGTTCGGACTGCCGCGTCGTATTACATACGAATCTTTGTTTTTTTCTATTTATTTTTTCATTCCTTTAATAAGGTTAAACAGTTTTATGGTATAACTAAAGAATATTTTTCTTGTCATGTTTCACATTTTCTCTATCTTTCTAGATAATGAAAATTGCGTTACTATATTTTCCTATTCTCCAAAAAAAGTAATATCTGCTTTTCTGATAACTTCATTTTCGTTCATAAAAAGATTCTGCTTCGGTGCATGATCGTTTGGTAGGCTTTTGCTGCATGATGCGATTTATCACTGCTGCAGGATTCAGTTTGTAAATTTTACAAAAGGAAATGAAATGGACACGTTGAGACCGAATCTAGAATTACGTACATGCACATAATCATGTACAAATGAGAGACATACACGCACACACACATACACACACACACACACACACACACACACACACACACACACATACATGCACACACACACACAAATATATATATATATATATATATATATATATATATATATATATATATGCATCTATATGCATCTATCTATATATCTATATATCTATATATCTATCTATCTATCTATCTATCTATCTATCTATCTATCTATATATATACATATATACATATATATATATATATATATATATATATATATATATATATATATATATATATATATATATATGCATATATATGCATATATATATATATATATATATATATATATATATATATATATATATATATACATATATATATATGTATATATATATGCATATATACATGTATGTGTGTAATATATATATATATATATATATATATATATATATATATATATATATATATATATATATATATATATACATAAACATCCATGTAGGCATACACGTGTACAATATATATGCGCATATATATAATATATATATATAATACAGTTACCAGAGGTTAAAATGGGTGATTCGCAGCCTTACATCTGCGGCGCCCTACCCATAGTGCACAGGGTCTGAGACAAGAAAACGGCCGAGTCCCCCCCTCCCCTCCCCCACCCCTCTTAACACCTCAACCCCAACCCCGCACAGCAGGTCGAGGCTTGTGTACGGATCAATAAGGCTTACTCCCTTAGTCACTGCTAGCTAGCTATGACCGCCCCCCCCCCCTCACACAGACACACCTCCCTTCGCCCTCTCCCCCGACCACAAAGTCTGCATGATGTGTTAACTGCGGGTGTCAATGCCGCCCACAACGACAGGGCGGCCAAGGTGACTGACTGTATTGGCACATGTTTCGCCCGACTTTCCCGCCAACGCGCGTGCTGCGGTGACCGTAATTCGCAGCCGCAGTCAGTTTAGTTCTTAGCATGGATATTATGCCTCTCTGCTTTCTTGTCTTCTTTTTTCTTTGAGACGACTATTTAATTTGTTTACTACTCTTTTTATTTCCCATTACTGCTATCACTGCGACCATTTTCAATGACATTTTGAATTATTATCATCACCCCCAAAAAAGCTTTCCTGCAATATGGTGCAACTCATTTTGCCGGACATCTGTTTTCCTTTACGGCAACGAACAATATAATTATCATATATCAGACAATTGCACTCCCCTGAGTCGTTTAACTACTCCAGAATTTAAAGCTCTGACCATGAATGACGTACATTAGATATATGAATGAACGTGAGGCAACTCAATCAATACAGCAGTCTTTCCTTGCCAATAATTTCCCAGTGAATAAAAAATCTCTAAAAAAATGTATGAAATTCTCATATGGATATGCATTGTTTCAAAGGGTTAAAATATTTACATCTCTTTGATAGATATGCTAAATGCTAATATAAAATGGAATAAAAAAAATATGCTGAATACTTGAAAACAGACAATCTGTGTTGGTCGATGGATTGGGTCAAAGAAATCAATGACAGACTCTCTTTTATGTTTTATTAACAAACATATCCACACACTGCAGGTCCAGACAGACCAATTAATACCTAAATAAATTTGCAGAAAACATAAATTACAAAATATAAGCAGAAAAAATGGTTTCATGGAACAGAAAAGCAGTAGCAGCCATGACTGACAATATCACAAGACTGTGATCACTTCCCTGGCAATATACCAGATACAACCTAAGGAAAGTTTCTACAAAACAGGACACTTACACTAAGTTTCCAAAAGTATTTTATTTGTGTGAGATCCTCCATTCTGCTACTTTAAAAATGAAATTATATCACATCATTACAATATGAAAAATAGTATGGATGCCTGCTCAAATCTGGTGACAACAAAATTTAGGCTTGTGAAAAACAGTCGTACTTTAATAATAACTAGATATAAATGTGAGTGTGTGTATGATTGTGATTGTGCATGTGTATGTGCAGATATATTGCATATATGTATAGGTATGTTCACACACATACATGCACATGTACACAAACACGTGCATGCATACAAACACACATACACAAACACGTAAACAGATATTTACATGCACGCACATACACACACAAACCACATATGTATGTCCATAAAATTTTCTACACACACACAAAAATCAAGTACAAATTCTTAAAAAAACATTGTTAGTGGCTGTGCTTTAAGCTAACAATTAATTTTAAGCATAGCTGTATTAGGAAAGTTAATAAAAAACATAAACTAATAACACTTAATCCAATCTAACCGGTGGAATATTAGGACTGTAAGATTCACAGCTATTTACTAAACACAATGGAAATATTAAAGTGCTGGTATTAGACTCAAAAATCATGGGGAACTTCTAGAATGCCAATGCTCATCAATTTCCCTTGTGATTTTACATCCTTCCTAAAAGTTACTGAATGATTATGAGATCCAAATATCTGTGCCAACAAAAGCACTGGAAAATGACAGCAAAAACACAGGCTTGCATGTATTGACAGAGCCCCATTCTTCTTGACTGGGATCAGAAATATTAGAGACACAGTAGAGCTCACAAGCATCATTTACACCTAGCCAGCATGACCTCAGATGAAATATTTCCTCTTCTTTCGTCCATTTTTTCTTTGCTCCCATGAACATGTCCATATATTTATATATATCACATTCTGTTTACTTTATATATTGCATATCTCTTAAGAAAATGTAAGGCCTCTTATTTGGTTAAGTCATAAACCTTTTTCTTTGCATAATGTGATGTGTAGTGCTCTTTCTCCTCTGAAAACAGAGCAAAGATTCTTGTTAACATGTCAGTCTTGAGGACAAATGAAACTTGGAAAAGTAGAATCAAAATGCATAGAACCCTGGCCTCAAGAACATAAAACCAATATGAAGTAGAACAAATCCTTAAACTGAAAAAAACAAGGGAAATGCATAAAACATCCAAGTAACTGGTACATGACACTCAGTCTCTAAGAAGATTCTCATAAAAAATCTTTTGTGAAACTCCTTAAGCTATCTGCTATTCATCCTCCTTTCATCCTCCCTCTGGTATAGGTCTGCACTTGGTACAATAATGAAATTTTCAAAATGGCCACTACCTACTTCCTGCTACAGATTCTGAAATTCATACCACCGGTCCCTAATTATTTACACGTTTATATAGGTATATATAACCAAGGTCCAAGGGGGGATCTGCAGATTTAGAGACTTTATTGTCATTGAAGATTGTCCACTCTCCATCTTTCTTAATGTGGCAGACATAGTGGCCAACAAAGATGGAGGTTCCCATGTGGCTGATAAATGCTGTTAACTCGTACCTGTGGGAGGAAAAAGATAATTCAATCAATATTTCAATATTTTATCTTGATAACTCTTATCATATGGATCTCTCTGAAGTGGCACATTTTGCTTTGTACAAAAGTAAATGAGTTTAAGACAAAATCAGGTTTTGTGGGGAGATCTTGCAGAATCTTGCACAGACTTGCAAAAATCACCAATTTGATGTGAAAGTTCATTCTGATAAAGATAAACATGCCTACACACAAACATATATTTCATTCATAATCACAGGAAATGAGTGAATAACTTACTTAGGTTCTCCATCAGTGTAGTTTGGCTTTTGTGGGGGAGGAGCAGCAGCACCACTCTGTGCCGCTAAAAGAGAATCAAGTTCATGTTGGTGTGAAAATATCCAGTCTGCTGCACGTTCTAGATTATTGCTGGTTTCTTTAAGAGCTAAAGTTGCCTGCTCTCGTGTGAATCCCATGGACATCAGCATTCCAAGTCCCTCTTCATTTGCAGTGAAAGTATCGTTACCTGCTAACAAATAGGGAAAACTTGTATTAAAAGAAAAAGAAAAGAAAATGATTAAAATAATGGGATTATGTTCATTATAGTGAAATATACCAGATTGTTTTTAAATATTACTCACTCTTTGTGTCAGTCTTAATGACAAGAGGGTCGGCAAAGTCTGGGTCACCCATGTGCTCCATGACCCAGTTCATGGCAGCCTCTGTTCCATTGTTCCCAGTAAGGTGAACAGCTTTCCTACACGCCTCCCATGGGAATCCCATTTCTGCTAATTGTTGGACAATACCTGCATCTATTTCTGGTTCTGTAATAAGAAATAAATCCAATAATGTGAATATAATGACCCTCCAAAAGACCAATATAGACAAGATATTTCATAAAAAGAAGGATATTTCTGTCATTTTGTGTATACGAGTATGTGTGTGTGTGCAAGGGTATGTGTATGTGAGTATGTGTGTGCAGAAAGAGAAAGAAAGAAAAAAAGAGAAAGAAAGAAAGAAAGAGAGAATGAATGGACATAACCTTGGTTTCTTTCTCCTTCTGATTGTTCTTATTATAACAGAAAGCTTCCAGGGCCAGATATCGAGCTATAGTGGCATCCAGAGTATGATGGGGAAGAGTATTCTCATAAATCAGCCAAAGAAGAATGAAATCGTGGAGATCATCAACATCAAACGCTTGTGGGGTACTTTGTGCTTCTTCTGCTTCAGTGTCAGACATTATGGATACTTTTTTTCAAATCTGTTCCATAGAATAAATAAACTTTCTTCTTTGAATGAGAATGATACAAAATCATATCACTGAGCCATAAGATCTTTCACTCACTTTCCACTAATAACAACTTTACGACTGAATAAAACTGCGAACATTGAGCAGCACATAAATAATCTAGGCTCTCATGATCTTAACATCCAGACCATAACAATACCACATATAACACTATCCAGTCTACAATCAACAGGGTATATCGTAACCAGTCTTGAACATCCAAAACCACGAAAAATGCCAAACCAATCTCAAAAAAGTCTAAAAACGCTAAGGCGTCTGCAGTGTTTAGCACAATCTGAAAACACCACAACTAGTCCAGTACTGAGGGAACACACAAGGTCCAGATCCAACCCGCCATCACTGGGCCTGCATGACAAGGGGCCTGATAGCATCTGGGAAGGCAATCTAGACCTTGTGATTCATGGCTGCAGAGTTTATTTCTTCCCTTGGGATAGACTAGCAAAATCTACTTTTCAGAATGCCATAATAATTCTTATCAGTCATGTAATCTAGCTGTGCTGGGGTTTTATTTGATTTTGGAAAGATAAAAAGAAGGGAGAAAGGGAAGAGGGGAAGGAGTGAAGGAGAGAGTAGGGGGTGGGGTGATGGTGAAGGGGAGGGGAGGAGAAGGTGAGGAGGAGAAATGGTGGAGGAGGAGGAGGAGGAGCCTGAGGAGGAGAAGCAGGAGAAAGGAGGAGGAGGAAGAGGAATGAGAGGAGGAGGAGGAGGAGGAGGAGGAGGAGGAGGAGGAGGAGGAAGGAGGAGGAGAAAAAGGTGGGTGAAGATAAAGGAGAGGATGATAAATAGGAAGGGATAGGGGTTGAAGTGGTAAAGGAAGAGGAAGCAGATGAATGGGAGGATGAGAGGGGGGGGGGGAAGGAGAGGATGAAGATAAAGAGAGAAGGAAGAGGAAGATTGGGAGAAAAATGGAAGAAAGAGGAAGAATGGGAGAAGGGAAGGAAGAGGAGGAGGGGAGGTAGGGATGGAATGTGAGGAGGAGGGGATGGAGGTGTAATAATTCTTGTCAGACATGCAATCTAGCTACACTGTGGTCATTTTATCTGATTGTGGAGGGATAAAAAGAAAGGGCAAATGGAGGGGAGGGGAGGGGAGGGGAGGGGAGGGGATGGGAGGGGGGAGGAGAGGAGGAGGAGGAGGAGGAGGAGAAGTGAGGAGGAGGAGGAGGAGGAGGAGGAGGAGGAGGAATGGAAGGAAGAACAGTAGCAGGAGGAGGAGGAGTGGAAGGAAGAACAGCAGCAGGAGGAAGAGGAAGAGGAGAAGGGGGAGATACAAGAGGAGGAAGAGCAGGAAGAGGAGGAGGAGGAGGAGGAGGAGAAGGAGGAGGAGGAGGAGCAGGAGGAGTAAGAGTAGCATGAGGAAAAAGAACAAATAATTTCAAGAGAAAAAAAGAAACATAAAAAAGACAGATAGTAAACATGGCAAGTGCAAGAACAAATGTTAAGAAGAAAAAACAGAAAAAAGAGGAAAGCAGTTAACAGAAAGAATGGAAAAGGGTATGCCAGTAGTTTCGAACCTTTTCAACACAGAGAAATCCATTTGCACAATCTATTCACACTGGGCATTATCTAAATACATTATGGAAAACTGGGCTAAAATACCAAGGCACATTTTTGACAGGAAGATATTTCAAGATTTCTTGAATAAACTTGAAATTTCTTGCTCGTATCTGTATTTGACGGATCTTCTTGGTCAGCTATCTTGGTACCAAGTATTTTCAAACTAACTCTAGTGGAAGCCTGTTATATTTTCATGATGTCTCAAGAGTAGACAAACTATCAACAAGGCCGACAGAAGAGTGATTACAATGAAATTCTCTTGATAATTTTATTATTTTGCCATCAATAGATGACATTATAAACTAGAAACTTGTGATTATATCTGTACCAACAAGAAGTATTAACTAGAGTATATTAATAGCTTCATTATTCTGTAGAAGATAAGTGCTAGCAACTGTATTATGGCCATCCTGGGGTTTTGAAGTACACTTTTATTTACCTTTGTTATTTCCATTCTAAATTTGCACTTTGAGAGACCAACCTTTGCTATGAATAGTAGATATTATCCTTTTAAAATGTTGCTGTAAAGTGTGTGGATAATTTTTTTCTTTTCTTTTCTTTATTAACCCATTGCCGCCGGGGATGGCATGTACGTACAACATGCCATGCCCGCTGTGAGCTGACTTGCTTAATTGTTTTTACACTTGTACTAAGTCGCCAATGAGCCAATTACGAGTACTGCCTGTCTCGCCCGTTCACCCTTATCACCAAGTTACGAAAATATTTAACATTATCCTAATTTGCTATTATATATAACACAATCTATATTTATAGCACTAGTAAGAATACCTTTTTTCCCGCCAATTCAAGGAAAGGTGAAATCAGGACTAGCAAAGCCATCTATGTACAGAGATATTTCACAAAAATATAAAAAATTAGTACATCATTTTCCCCATTTTTCATTCATTTTCCCCGGTGGCAATGGG